CCCGCTCCCGCCCCGCCGCCCCACCTCAATGGACACCCGCCGCAGATGGACGAGGCGCGCCATCTCGTCGCCGCTTTGCAAGGTACGCACCCTCTCAACTAAAATTTTATAAGTGGCTGCCATATTGGTGGACATGTCAATTATCTTTGCTTCTTATCTTCTTTCACTCCAGAAGCGTGACGATTCTTATTTATGGTTATACCGTACTTGCAGCGAGCTCTATATCGGGAGGTGTGGAGCACGAGCCTGAGGCGGAGGTGGAAGTGGAGGCTCCGCCCGCGCAACAGCCCGAGCCCGAGCGCGAGCCCACGCCGCCGCCGCCGCAACCCGCGATGCCCCCGCAGCCCGGTACACGAACGCCCCCATACAACATCATTTCTTTTATAATATTGTTTTTGTATTTATTTTGTAAATATTTATTGTTACAGTGGTGCCGGAGCCAAAAACATACGCGAACCTGCTTAAGTCCGGGTCGGGGGGTGCGGTGAGCCGCAGCTCGCCCCCCGCGCCCGCGCCGCTCGCCGCCGCGCCCGCGCCCGCACCCACCGCCGCACCCCCCGCCGGGCCCGCGCCCCCTCCCGCCCCGCACGACCAGCGCCCGCGCCCGCCGCGCGCCCCCCAGCCGCCAGGTCGGCACGCACTATATACTCGTCTTTCTCTTGTATCGCCCTTTATAAAGAAGAGTAGGTTCTCAAATTAAACTTGGATATAAGCGTAGGAAATACCCCGCCGTTTATTTTTAAGGCTTTTTATAGTAATGCAAAATAATTTTGCTTTTTTGTCCAGCGGAGGGCGGCGGCGGACGGCGGTACTCGGACTCGCAGCAGCTGTTCCTAGGCAACCTGCCGCACTCGGCCACCGAGGAGGAGCTGCGGGCGCTGTTCGCGCGCTTCGGACCCGTCGCCGAGCTGCGCGTGCACAGCAAGGCCGCCGCGCCCGGCGCGCCCCGCCACCCCAACTACGGCTTCATCACCTACGAGACCGCGCAGGCCGCACACGACTGCCTCAACGCAGCTGTCAGTACCTACTTACAGTTATCATATTTTTTTTTTATTTATAAAGTTAAAAGTTGTATAATTCGTCTAGATCTGTTTACTAGAATGTATTAGTAAATGTTGTCGTGATTCAGGTGTAACAAAATGTAATATATTGCGCAGCCGCTGTACTTCCCGGCGGACAGCCCCGAGGGTGTGAAGCTGAACGTGGAGGAGAAGAAG